TCCTCTGGAGGTTCAAACATTTCTGCCACTATTCCCAAGATTCTCTGATTGACTACTGACCAGCACACTCCTTCAGGTAAGCCTTGCTTTAGCACCAAAGTGAGGCTGGGGCTAGAACTTAGTAAGTTGAAAAGCTGAACGTATGAGTTGTTTCAAAATTCAAGTGTTCCCTTCCCGCATCTGGCTTTCAGGGATTTAATTAGCCATTCTGCTAGCTGGTTCAATTTATCCTCCTCTGAAAGTTTTAAATCCGGTTGAACAGTTACTTCTTTCATTTCAAAATCCTCTGTTATTGATGAGGAGTCCACCTCCATAGGCGCTGGACCAAAAACTTCTTGGAACGAATCGTCTCCTGACTCAGCTATTGTCTCCTTTGCCTCTATGTGTTCTTTAGTTGGAGGTTCCTTCTCCTCATCCTGTTTTTTAAGTATGTCAATCTCCTCCTTATTTACCGGTGATTGTGAAATGTCAAAGGGTTCCTTCTCCTCATCCTGTTTTTTAAGTATGTCAATTTCCTCCTTATTTACAGGTGATTGTGAAATGTCCAAGGGGTCAGTATCCTTATTCGGGCTTGGGATTTGTTTGCTCTTTCTTTTTTTCCTTGTTTCCCCTTCCTGACTTTCATTGGCTGACTTCCCTTGAGTACATTCGATGAGGGTCCCTTGTTCCTCTTTCTCACCTTTTTCCTTCGGATCTGACTCCTCACTCGCTTCCTTACCCAGCAAGAAAAAAAAAACTCCCTCTTGCTGAGTGATGTAATCTAAGGATTGATGTCCTGGTAGTGTATTCCTTCTTTCAGTGACCCCCTTCCCTCCCTTAAGGACTGGCCTCCACTATTGTTGGCATGAATTTCCTTTCCTTTTACCTTGTTCCCCTGACCCTCCCCTATCCTCCTGCTGTGGGGATGGTTGACTTTCTTCCTTGTTTGCTGACTCTTGAGAACTAGCAGAGGAAGAAGACATTGTGGTTTGATAAACTTTTGGCCTTTTACTTGTATCTAGTCCACTTGGAGAAGCCTCAGGGGGTGTCCATGTGTTTTGAGGTTTAGTTTCCCAGTTTGGCTCCTTCCGGCGTTCCCAATACCACCCTTGGGTGGCCTCCCCTTTCTTAGTACCCTCAATATACACCCATCCCTCATGTCCTGCGTCAACTGTACGCCAAAGATTGGGCTTAAATAAATCCCGGATGAGCCTACCTGTAGCTTTGTTTTTCTTTGTCGGTTTTTGTGCACACGCAGGATCCGTACTCAGGTGACCATAGGCTCTACATCTGAAACACCATGGTCTTTGTTTGGGTGTCGTATGAATATGATATTCCCTCCCTCTCACTCTGTATGGTATGACATCGTCTATATTAGATAAAACATTGGTTGAGTGATTGAGGGTCAACATCAAGTAATCGTCCTTTTTGGCCGCATAAGCTGAGAGGGGTTCTAGGAAATCACTAATATCATTATTACTCCCGAAATCATGAATGAAGGCTGCTTGAATTTCAATTGGGATGTGTCTAAATTCCACCCAGTAGTAATTCTCTATCATTTGTTTCCTCCTTTCATCAGGTCCTTGCTTTGGAAGAGACCATTGATAAATTCTGGCCTATGATCTTTCACATCTCAATTTACACCAACCTTCGATTATATTTTTATCTGAGATGTGTAGACACATAACAATGAAAATAACCGTCGAAATTGGAAGAATCAAAAGATCTTGGCACACTGTTTCGTAACTTCCTTTGTATGCTAACAACCTCATACAAATCCATTTGATTTTTTCATTGGTAGATTTGTACGCCGAGTCATCGTGAAAAACCCAATTGTTTGCATGTGCCGAGTAAATTAAGTCACTTTCTTCCAATTCCGGTGTCGGATAAATTTTAATTAACGATTCCCCCCCCCCCCCCCCAAATCAATTACCCGAATCTTTGAAGAGATAATGAATTTGGAGAGAAGAAAAATCTTTGATGTTGGGAGATTACGCAGGAGTATCTTTAATGGTTGTGTTTGCTCCCCCTGCCTTTTGATTTCTAACTCCTGGATTATGAGGTTCCCTTTCACACACTACACCCAAGGGGAAGAAGCATCTTTCTGTTGCACCTTGTCCTGGATTGGAAATGACCTCCCCTGATTTTGTAATTGCTCTTGAGAACCAGTGTTGGGAACAAGCGCAATCTCTTTCTCCTCCTTTTTCTCTTCTCAGCTCTTGTATTCTACCCCACGAGGAGCCTGCCTGAAACACCATGTTTCCTCTGCTACCTCTTGGGAATTGATTTGATATTGACAACCTTTGCTGTCTGTAATTCAGAACCACTCCATTACCTTGTGCAAACACGTGTTTCATCTCCAACCCCCCTATTTGCTGTGTGGAGCCTGTCAATGATAGGACTTCCGGTATTTTTTTCTCCCTCATATCATATTGATTAAAAAGGGGATTGATGGTCACTTCTCCTTGATGTTCATTCTAATCCTGGTTTGTATAGGCATGTTCCGTGTCCTGTACCAAATTTTCTTTGTGACCCTTCTGCTCCTTTTGTTCCTCTGCCGTGAGGATTTCTCCTTCCAACATTTATACTTCTGTTGAATTTTCCTTGCCCTTTTTTCCTTGCTTCTGTCTTGCTGCCAACACTGTCCTATCCAGCGTATGCAATTGCCTTGCTGCTATTTGTCGCATAGCTCCTCTAATCATCAATGTCGATTCCTTTAACCGGTGGCTTCGTTGATGGTGTACTATACACGGCATATTGATGTGATTGTGATATCTCTGTTAATCCTGGACTTTGCTTAGGGGACCCTTTTGCCCCCTTCAGACACTTCAACCAACAGTCCAACCGACCATCCAACCCCCTAACCTACCACCAGCAGTCCAACCAACCAACCAGCCCACCAACCAGCCCACCCACCCACCACCCCTCCCACGAGCCTACCCTGCTTGCCAGACAACCAACCACCCCCCAGTTTCCCACCTACCTGTCACCTATACTCCCGTCCTCACAACCCCCTCACCTACCAAACAACCTCCCAACACACGCTCTTAACTCATTTCTTTTACTTTCTAATTATTGTTGTTTATGTATGTATTTCTTTTATTTTCTCGTATATTAGGATCATAATAGGATGCAAGGGGAGAAACCGGTTCGACAGGGAGAGGTTGCGAGAGAAGGGGGTAGCTTAGGAACAATCTTTCCCAAATTTTAGCTCTTAGTTGTTGACACCTGTTTGCTCCTCCCTCACTCCTCTCTTTCCTCGTTGTTTATGTGTCCTTCCTATCTCCTTCTTCTTGGCGCCTTATATGTCACACCCTCTACTTAGACTTTTCCCTAAACACACTAAGCTGATCGCAGATGGGTGCTCTGTTTACATTCTTGTTCCCAGACATCGTTCATGTTGCCGTATTCAAACATATTCGAATATCCTGGCAAAGCCCCCCTTAATCGCTGATAATTGTGACTCCGAATGTGATGTCAAAAGGGGTAAGACCCGAACACTATGATTCCAAAAGAAACCCTATTGGAAGTAGAAGGTCGATTGTCTTATGACGATTAGCCTCCCCTCTTGATCTGGCGAAACCTAATGTAATTGGCTCCGCATTTGCTTCTCATTCACTCACGAATCACATGTGTAGCACCTCATTAGTTGCAATAGCATTCTAACGGACCAGTTTGACCCAACTCGTGATTAAACCGACAGACAATGTAGATAACCTAGCCACTGCCCACCCAGGTGACGATCCGTTTCCCTTCCGTTAACCCGCTGTAAACCAATGTGGCATCGATGGAGAGTCTTACAATTGCCCGCTTACGTATAACATATACCACGTTCAAGCGATAACCATAACAATGTAGAAGGCAATTCCTCCCTCACCCCCTTTGCGTTGATGAAGACGACGAACCGTTTCCCCCCCCTTAACCTGATGTAAACCAATGTAGCACCGTTCGTGGTGTTGGTACTCCGAACTTGATGTAAGTCCGGTTCGCCTCATCACCCATTCGCTTGCTACGTGTACGTATTCTCTTACTGAGTGCATGCATATTAAAGTGATTACGACGATCCGTTCCCCCCCTCCTTACCCCGATGTAAGCCAATGTAGCGCTGTTCGACGTTCGTGATGTTGGTACTCCGAACGTGATGGAAGTCCGGTTCCCCTCATCGCCCTTTCGCGCGCTATGTATCCGTGTTCACTTACGAAGTTCATTCATATTCAAGCGATTACCATAGTATTGTGGAAAGCCAGCTTCTCCCTCACTCCCCTTTACCCGGAAAAAAACAAAAGTGCTTCCGTTCTGAATATTGGAAAAAAGTAGAAGCCCAAATTTCCATTCATCCCACGGCTGGAAGATTACTTGTCAATTGAAACAAAATTACTTGCAATTCCACCGCTCCAGATTATGACGAAGACATTACGAGCAAGAGTATTACAATCACCCACTTACGAATATCCTATACAATTTCAAGCGCCTATGCTTCCTTTCTCAATGTTTAGAAATTTAGATGCCCAATATTTCTTCCACAAAGAACCGGAGGATCAATTGAAACGCAAAGATACCTTCGATTACTCCAATGGGCTCATTCACATGCTCAATCATTCACACACGAGGAATACGAAGACTAACCTTCTTAGTAGTGAAATTGTACCCTCATACCTCGTTTCTATAATCGTTGTTGTAGCTCTGCGCTCGTCCCCCCTGTCCATCGTCTTTCATCGTGCCATCCTAGTTGTATTCACAGGCGGAGTAAGCATCACTCCCCCCTGTTCACTTCTGGCCCCTCCTTCGACCTCAACATCGAAGGAGTTGTTGCATCCGATCCCACGTACCTGACGTGGCGATCCTCCGCAGACGACGCGTTCAGTTAGAGAGCCTCCCGTCTATAGAGGCAACCCTACTGAATCCTCATGTTCCACTCCACAATCCTACTTCCGCCGTCGGGGTACAAGCGGTCCGCGTCGTGCGTTCCTACCTTGCTAAGCGCGTGTCTACACGCTAGATCACGTTCACCAGCCGAGGCGCGCGAAAGGCACAAGCGCATTCTCACTAGCGCTTGCCGTAGCGCAACCACAATTCTCACCCTGATTGTTCATTTCTTACCAAGGTAGGCACGTCCGGTTCGGGAGACCGACGGTGGTGCCATTTGCGACACCGTGCTGCAAGTGTGCTACGCCATGGGGTGTGGAGCATTTCCCAGAGCGACGCCTAGGTGGTGGATGAAGCGACGGATAGGCGGAACGTGGGAGGATCTGCGACAATGTGACAACGCGACGGCGGACAACTTCAAGGACAAGCTGCACATACCGCCACGTGTGTTCCGAGAGATCACGGAAGCTTTGTCTCCCTTCCTTGAACGGCGTGTCACTTTCTATAGGGAGCCCCTCCAGCCCGACCACATTGTCGCGTACGCTTTGTACAGGTGGGCGTCGGGGGAGACGTACGAGAGCGAGACTTGCAGCTTCGACATTGACAGATCTTTTGGGTTGGTGGTTGTGCGGGATGTAACTGCGGCGTTGCGGAGTGCGTACCCCGACAAGATATCCTGGCCGACGGGGCTGCAGAAGGCGGTCGTCTTGCGCGCTTTCACTGACAAGGGTTTCCCTAACTGCCATGGGTGCATCGAGTGCACCCACATCTTCATCGACAAGCCAGCGAATTGCCCCGGGGAGGACTACTACGATAGAAAACGATGTTTCTCTGTCCAGGCGCAGGTTGTTGTCGATCTAAACTTGCGAGTGCTGGATGCGTTCGTCGGTTATCCGGGAAGTTGCCACGACGTGAGGATCGTGCACCTGTCAAGTTTATGGGCGTGCACTGAGGCAGGGGAGCTTTTTTCACTCGTCCACCTGTTATGCTGCCTTTCGGTGTGCAGACTAACAGGTATCTGCTGGGCGACAATGATTATCCCCCCTCCGAATGGGTAGTCGTCCCCTACGATGGTCTCTCACAACACCCGTCGGAGTTGCGCTTCGTCAACAAGAAGAAGACGGCGAGGGGAGCAGTTGAGAGGGCTTTCGGCAGACTGAAGGGCATGTGGAGGTTGTTCCTTCGCTCGCACAAGACGAACATGGAGATGTTGCAGCAACAATTCGTCGCCGTTTGCATTCTGCACAGCATACTCATCGACGCAGGCATTCCCTTCGACGACAATCTACTGTGGGAGGTCGGGTCGGACGATGTACGTCGCAGGGTGGATTTTGGGATGCAGCAGCCCTTGAGGCCGATGTGTATGGAGTCGTCGACAGGGGATGGCATTGCGCTCATTCTGCGAAACGCAATGGCGGGGAGAATGGGTGCACAGTGAACACGGCCAAGTGTGCGGAGCGGGCGGCTGCGATGATGTGGCTGTGGCGAGAAATCGGAGCGGGCGACGAGGGGAGCAGGCGAGAAATCGGAGCAGACGACGTGGGAGGCGTATTGTCCTGGAAGGGGTGGTCGTCTGAGGTTGGGGTCGTTGTGTGTGCGGGGCCGTTTTCCAGAAATGGCGAGTTGAAGCAGCGGTTGCTGTTTCGCTGTGGGTTGCCGTGCACTGGGCGGCGTGTGTCGGCAGTTTCATTCGGTTTTGTTTCGTACTGTGCGCCGTTCAGGAGGGTGTCGACGCTTGGGGTTGATGGTGATGGCGCAGTCCAACGCGTAGTCGGCGGGGGCGACGTGACGCGCGTGCACATGCCAATCGTAGTTGTTGTGTAGTATGGTGCCACCGTGGGTGACGTGTCTGGGTGACGTGGTCGAGTCTTCATCGTGTGTGTTCTGTTTTTTTAAACTTGAGATTGAAGTTGCCTTGAAGACCTTTATTTTTTGCAGCGTGTGTCGTCGTCTGCTGTTTTTTTGTACGAGACACAACAATCTAACAAAATATCGTGTAAATTATATATGTTGCGTGGCTTGTCTTTATCTTTCACGACGAATGGAAAGTACAGAATTGCACGACGTTGTTGTATGTTATTTGTATTGCCATCTTTGGTTCGCACATTTGCAATGTCGTGTGTGAACATCCCTCACTTTGTCATCAACCATCTGTTCAAGCAAGCATCCCTGACCCCGTTATATCCCCCTTACCATAACATTCATAAATGCAAATGAAAGCGGAATAAAAAGGAAGCGACAACACGATGTAGATATCATCCATATCAATCAATACAATAAAATGTTCGCTTTAACAGATGCGAACATCGACTTGCCATGTTTGAAAAAAAAATAAATTAAAGAAAACGAAAGGTTCATGAAACACCCCTAATGGCAACCGACCCGCAACGGTGATGATCACCATCACGGAAACATCCACTACCATGACCGATCACCAACCCCMACCCCCCCCCCCCCCCCCCCCCCCCCCCCCCCCCCCCCCCCCCCCCCCCCCCCCCCCCCCCCCCCCCCCCCCCCCCCCCCCCCCCCCCCCCCCCCCCCCCCCCCATCGTCCCCACCCCCACCCCCATCTCTAACGTATACCCTTAACATGTTTGAGACGAAACCGAACCAAGCACACCCCCTCTACCACATCCCCCCTCTTCCATCTCTCCCCTCTCCACCCGCAAAGACTCGTTGGCGATAACCTCCATCCCTGTGCCAAGATCATCCCACGTGTTGGCGAGCACAGGACGCCGGCTACGAAACTACGGACCGTACAGCGACACGAAAGACACATGCATGCGGCATCGGCACCTCCGTTTCACAGAATACTGACCCTATCCATCCCTCACCATCTCATAACCCAGTGATCCTCATATTGATAATCCCCACATCCCCTTCTCCTTCTCGCGTGTCAGCCCTTCTAAGCATCAATCAACATATTATCGTTCTCCCCAAAACTGCCCAATTTCCACACCTCATATCTGACAGCCACGTATCACACACGACATCCCCGGAGATATCACCCTCCGTACGTAGAGGCCCTCCGTGCGACAAACTCCCCTTCATCATCATTGCCAATTAGGATCGATAGTAAGCATCGACACCAAGTATTGATCCACAGTCGAGTAGCTCCCCACTGCTCCTAGTATCCGCAACACAAAGAACCATCTATCGAACGTTCATGCGCCTCGCAATATGTCCGCCTTTAGCATTGCCTGGCTCAGTTCATGCACAACAGACATTCCCACAGCCCCACATATAGGCCACACCCCACAGGTATCCCGACGTAGGCAAATACCCCGAAAGCCTCGAGAAAATCAAGAGAATCGAGAGAATCGAAAGAATAATGAAGAATCGACGAAAGAGGACCGAAAAAATAACGAAAGAGACGCGATCTTCAACGGAATCACGGGAAGTATGAACAGACACTCATCTCGTCCCTACAAAACAACGTCACCCACAGCAATACCACATACGATGGCATACGATGGTATACAAAGGCATTTAGACCGACATTATTTCGCAACGCAATCAACCATCCTGATTATATAAAATGTTCGCTAATAGTAGTAGATGATGGTTCTCAATAGTTGAATTCCTCACCAATTTACCACACAAAGAGTAGGTGAGACAAACTTGCATATTTACAGGCTAGGGTGGTGGCATGCATCCTGAAACATGCTTTTCGCTAGTTATGCCACAGACTAGCTCGTTAGAGGTCCATAATAGGATAGCACAAGGTAAGTACGCAAGCATAGGCAACTCTTGAGAACCTTAGTATATATAAATAGTCACTGTTCCTCCCAGGAACGGGTGGAAAAGGGTGACAACGGTGGAAAAGGGAGATCTAGGGAGTTTTACGGTAGAACCTCACCTCCGGTTGCACGTCTACTCGTGAGAGCCAAGAGATATCGTCACGAGTGGTGTGTACTCGACACGTACTCCAAGTGGGATGAAGGAGCATGAAACATCTATGGTAGCAGAGACAACGATAGAGAGCCTGCGTAGGGAGGCTAAGGGGACGGCCGACAACCCAACAGCAAGAGTAGCCGCAGCTAAGAGGGGATAAGACGTATTCACAGACATAACAACAGCGGGGCCAATCGGGACAACCCAGACAAGCGAGCACGATACACGCCGTAACCCCTGGGACTACCTTCGATAATACCCGAGATTAGTCGCATATGTCTCGCTGGTGGAGGAGGATTAGTCTAATGCTAACCGCCTACTTAAATACCTGGAAGCTACTAGTATTACGTTTTGCCATACAAGGGAAAAAAAGAAGTAAGAAAAAAGAAAAAAAAAACACATTCGTTACTTTCCCTCTTTCGGTCGGGGGGCCGGTGCTGCGGTGCATTCATCATTTTCGATAGTTATAACCATGACCGCATTATTCGCTAGATTCAGGGGCCCCCCCTTTTTTTCCAAATAGGAAGCATATGTCACCCCTACTTCTCGCAAAGGTCGTGAGTTCAAAGCTCCTGAGATCAGGTACAAATTATTTTACATGCCTACATCATTCAGCCAAAATCCAAGCGAAACGTTGCTGGTTCACACACAGAGTCACTCCAGGTTCAGAATGTTTGTTCGAGAGGTCCCAGGTTCAAGACCAAGTTTCATGAGTCTTCATACCAATAGTTCAGAAGGAATTGGAAGCCATATTTGGGTCGTTATCTGTATAGCAAGTCAGTTGTTATATACCTGCTGTGCTCGGGGATCAACCCTCTGTTTTTGTATGTGTGTGTGTTCAGAAATGATCCCACGACGAATCCGCCATGCAACTCCACTCCTTCAGTGGTACACCAGGTCCACCCCTAGCGCATCATGTGCCGTTTCAACTGCCACCCATCCATGCTACCTAGCCAGCTTAAAATGCTGGGCCACACACAAACAACCAAACAGGCAAACCACTACTGCCACTTTACTTCTCTGAAGCTACCTCACATATCCGTGGCTAACCACAACCAGTTTCCTAAGTCGCACTTAGGATGGAGGCCATGGGGGAGGCGGGAGGGCAGATAACACACAACGACACCATGTAAGCAATGAAAAGGCATGACATGAAAAGGCATGACATGATAAGGCATGGGATGACAAGCAACAGCGAAGGACAAAAGCTGGAGGGCACAGGGGAGGTGGAAGGGCAGACGACACACAAGCACACCAAGCAGGTACACAAACACACCAAAACAGGCAAACCGAAAAAAATACAAGCCCCAAGAAAGTCGAAGGACCGAAAAAAATAAAGGTTGGTGATGAAAGATTGTTTCGTCGGAATTGCACCGACTCATCAGGAGGCTGAACCCTCGACAATCTGCGAAATCCCCGTATTTGATGGTTTGGGTCATGAACCCTTTGACCCATGTTGAAGGCAGACTGTCCCCAAACGGGATATAGCAGCGGGCAACAACCCTGTGGAGCACCAGGCAACATAGTAAAGGCAGCCCAACTGCTTATCACCAAAGACGACTGCAAGGAACGACAGGGCAAGCGGACGAGCACCTGGGCAACCATGCGGTGAAGCGCAAGGCAACGCCAGCAAGGCGACCAGACTACAAAGCACGCAAGCAAGTAAAGAACGCAGAAGGCCAACAGGGCAAGCAGACGAGCAGCTCGACAACCGTGCAGTGAAGCACAAGGCACCACCAATAAGGCAACCAAACTACAAGGCATGCACGCAAGGGACACTGAAGGCCGACAAAGCACACAGACAAGCAGCTCAGCAACTGTGCAGCGAAGCGCGAGGCACCGCCACAAGGCTACCAAACCACAAGGCACGCGAGCAAAAGACACAGGAGGCACGACCCGCGGGTAAGCGGCAAGGCAGCAGAGTAGCAAGGACGACCTGCAAAGCAAGCGGCACGGGCAACAAGACCACGGTAGCACGCAGACAAGACAGTCTACACATCCAACACGGAGCAAAGCAGCACATGACCTACTCACATCACGATAGAACCCCGCAGACTGTTGGTTCCCACCACCCGCTGAGCCAGGGGGACACTCTGACGACCATCCGTCATCACCGACAGGCAACACAGACATCCCGAACCGAGCAGCCCCCCTAAGAGTGCAGTTGGCACTCCAAACGAGGAACCACCGACTGTTTGGCACTGCTAGAGGGTGCTCCGCTAGAGACACAAAAAGCACATAGAAAAAATGCGAGAAAAATGAAAAACAAGCATGCCTAAAACTGATTGTGTGTGTGTGTGTGTGCAAGGAAAACTGATTGTGTGTGTGTGTGTGTGTGTGTGTGTGTGTGTGTGTGTGTGTGTGTGTGTGNGAGAGAGAGAGAGAGAGAGAGAGAGAGAGAGAGAGAGAGAGAGAGAGAGAGAGAGAGAGAGAGAGAGAGAGACGTGTCCCCTTTTGGCATGCGTCTCCTCACAAACGCAAACAGGTAGTGCGCACCTTTTGGGGCTTGGCCTCTGCAGCCAAATGGCTGGCGGCACCAGCCAAAGGAGCCTGCGCTCATTCGTTTTTTTTTTAGCGTGCAGTCCGTTTCGAGCCCTGGAGAAAAGTGCTACGGATCCAGTGGCCTAGCTCAGGTGGTAAGGCACGCAAGTGGCATTCAGGAGGTCTTCTGTTCAATCCCCATTGGCCTCATGCACCTTCCTGGGCAAGCTTGGCGCCCGCCACCTAGAGATACGCCGTTGGTCCCCCCAAGTGGCATTGAGCAGAGACTGCTGATGTTCATAGGGGGAGGAGACCGGAGGGGAGGCACAGTGACTAGCCCATGGAAGAAGATCGGTCCTGATGCTACCGGCTGACCCCTGGCCGGTATCGCC